GTTTTGAATAGTTTATTTTTTCAAAAGAATTAACTTTCAAGTAATTAAACTCTATTTTCTAATCTAATATTTCATAAAAAAGAAAGAAATTAGAAATACTTAAGAGAAATAAGAAACAAATAAAACAAGAAATTAAACTAAACAGGGTTAGGAGATAAAAACCTGTTACTTCATTCAATATTTGAATATACAACCAAAAATTGTTAAAATATTATATCATTGAATGCATCCTAATACGAGCGGATAGGTGAGCATACCATCAAGAGGGAGAAATCTAAAACATTATTATTTTTTTTTCTCCGTCAATTTTTGAACTTTCGTAAAGATAGACGAGTGTTCCCTAATCAACGTCTAAATATTTTCTATCCTCACAGCTAAGATAGAAATGAATCAGAACATTTACAAGATTTTACCAAATCAAACCAAAAGCGAACTCCAACTTCCAAATCTACCCCTGAGGTTTCCCTATTTAAACTTCTCCCTCCCTCTTCCCCCTTTCCCACCCCCCTCTCCCTGTCTCTTTATTTTTCTCTTTTAGTTTCCTCTTTAGTTTCCCAAAGGGGATACAAAAGGGTTTGATTTAGTTCTTACCCATTGTTGGGGTATTTAGTTCTTAAACTTATTAGGAATGAATTTTAGAAGTATATTTGTGATTTTCATTCGTTTGTTTTTTATTTTATATTTTTAAAAATTAAACTTGTAAAAACTGTCCTCACTTTCATGTTTCTTTGTTTTGTTATCTTTTTTTTTTCAAATTTCTAAATTTTAGATTAAAAAGTCATTTTAAAGAACTGACATAAAAGAAAATGAACTTTAGAAAATAAAAAATGAAGAACAATTATTCAACAGAATTTTATGCAGCGTTGGTCGTGTCATAATAAGCAAACCCATAAAGAGTTAGTGTAATTTGGATTCTAAACTTTACATTTTATTAACCCAATCAAACCAAGTACCGTTTAAAAGGGCCGAGAGGAGCTCTCTTCAGTTCATTCCGAGACTGTTCGAGAGTCAAAACGCAGCTGCTGATTCGTTAGCTCAATGGCTCATCATCCACAAAAATTCCCACCGCTATAACGTCAAAGTTGTGTGATGGGCTCCTGACCTATCGATGCAGGAGCAGTCTTTCGATCGTCGCTGTCATGTATTGGACTGAAGGGAGCTCCTTCTCTATTTCCTTATGCTTTGCATCTCAAACTTATTAATTTCTTCATTTTCATTCTTTTTACCGCTCCTATGGTCGGTATTGTTGATCTCTTCATTTTCATTTTTTTAACGTCCATAGTCTCATGTGGATGTTTGATGAAGACTTCTCTCTGTTGAATTTGTATGGTTTGATAGGGATTTGAGCAGAAGCAGCTTTGAATTCTGAAAAGCAATTCCCCGAGGAGCGCAAGGAGGAGGTAGCTTTCTCAGTGTACAAATTTAAAGCTTTGGGAGGTGTCTTGTGTTCTAACTTACAACTTTGGTTTTTCCTCTACGGTATTATTCTATTTGCGTCTCATTTATCATTAATTTAATTTATTTCTTTTCCTCTTTTTAATATAGCACGTGAGATAAGGATTCGAACCGACTTCTTTTTGTCCGAGATAGATTCATTAACTAATTTAGTTAGGTTCAAGTTGGCACTAATGTAATTTAATTGATTGATACTTAAATCTTTAAAATAAGATTATTAATAATTATTTCTTGTTATATTTAAAGAAAATCAACTTTTTTGGAACTTAGCAAACAACTTTCAATTTCATAAAATTTTTGATTCAAGGGAGTTAGACTCCATGATGGCTACTTAACTTAGAAATTATTTCCTATATGTTTTATGGCACCAAATATTATAAAGTCGGTGGCTATCCCGTGAGATTAATCAATGTGCACATAAACGGGCCCGAACACTCACGATTACAAAAAAAAATATATTCATAAAATTTTACCTGTGTATATATATAGTGATTTGTACCTTTTATTTGTATGATATGTTGCCTTAAAAATGTCCAAAATCTAATTAAATTCTAATAAAATCAAGCTCTAATAAATAAACACATTAAGTAAGTTTTAACGAATAAATAAAGGTGTGTTTGGGAGTGACACTAGAATGAGTGATTTTGAAAAAAGAGATTCGAGAATAATTAATTTTTCAACATTACCATCCAAGTGATACATTAAAAATCAATTTAAAGTGATTTTAGACTCTGTTAAAATCAATTTTTAATTTTCCAAACATGATCCATAGAAATAGAAGTGATTTTGACAATGGCAAAGTTAATTTTAGTCATGCCAAAATTACTCCCAAACACACCTTAAATGTAAATTGTAAATAGTTAAATAAATCTTCAAAGCGACAATTTAAATAAAACTCAGTCGAGAGTATTGCCATCTTTATTTGAAGCATCCATTTGTTTGTAATCTATTGAACACAGGGAGAATACTTTTCAGAGATTATTCAAATGGAATGCCTGATGAAGATCAAAATTGTAACATTTTTCTAAACTATTTAAAAATTCACTTATCTCGTGAAATTTTAGGAGCCCAATTTTAATTTTCTTTGAAAATATGTTTAGAAATTGTTTTATTATTTATAATATAAATTTAGTTGTCCTATATCCGTGACATTAATTCTCAACTATATACCAAAGTGAACATAGCTGTAATGGGTATATACCTCCAACTAAAAGGTTGTGAGTTCGAATCCCCTCCCCAATATGTTGTACTAAAAAAAAATTCTCAACTAAGTTTAGTATTATAATTTCTCATGTATTTTATATAAATAAAGTTGTACTAAAGTCTATGAGGGGTTTAAAAGTGCGTGATGGTTTGGGACTAGAATGAGTTAACGAAGTACAACCTTAAATAAGAAGGATCTGTAAAAAGAAACAAACACTCAAACGCTTAAGTTAAAAAAGGCACAAGCTAGATAAGTTGTTCTCGAAGCAAAATTGTGTGCTGAGGAAAGAGGCAGAGTGTTCTTTTTATTAGCGATGGGGAGATAAGGCCATTGCAACCGCCCCGATCAAGTCTGTCTGAAAGAAAGATGAGCCGTAAATGTTGAGTTGTTTTAGTCTTAGTTCGATTCTGGGTACAAGTCTGTCTCCTCCGTTAACTTAGTTGAACATATTTAATGATACCAAGCTGAGTTGGTTGGTCCACGTGACATTTTGTATTTTTCCTCCAACACTCGTTTTTCTTTACTAATAGTTGGGGGCATTAGAACTTTCTTGTTACTTATGTTTTTTTCCCTCTCTTTTAATATAAAATAAAATGACAACATCACACATGCACTCTTAATTAATTAACAAGATTTAGAGAAGGGTATAAATTGACATAAGTTTAAGAAATGTTTTAATTGATCAACCGGGGAAAGTTGAGAGTTTTAATTGACAAAATTATTTGTTAGATATATACTATCAAATATTAACTGTTTTGAAAAAATAAGTTGGGAAAACAAATTTTACACTATTTTGCATATAAGAAAATAGTGGTGAAGTCTGATGCTTTTCAAATAATTCAGTTATCAATGATTTCATTTCATCAAGGTCTGAAATTTGTTTGATAGTATATATAAATTTTAGATAACGTGGGCTGGACTGGGCTGGGCTGCTAAGATGAAGAATCAATTGAGTGGGCTTTTAAAATAAATACTTGAAAATTTTAATAAATAACATAAAATAAATATGTATTTATAAAAATATAATTAATTACTTTTTACAATTTTTTTTAAATATTTTATCAAATTGATTTTTGGTTGGTCTCATTATATAAGTTTGGGATTTATCCTATCTTTTTTAACATTTTAAATCTATTATATATAAAAATACATATTTTTTTGTGCTATTTTTATAATTTTCTTTTTATATTATATTTAGATTCCTCTTCCCATTTTATCATTTTTATTTTTCATTCATTTATTAGAAGGGTTGTTTTTTTTTAACTTTCAGTATTAATTTTAGTTTTTCCGTCTATTTAACATTTCTGTTCCCTAAATTAAATCAATATCAAAATTTTAAAATTCATGGACACATAAAATTTTAAATTAAATCAATATATATACCCTCTAAATATTTGCTATCAAATACTACATTAAAATTTAAAATTCGACGCATATGTATCGAGACTGAGTAATTGCTATTTTGTGTAATAAAATTTAAAATTCATGGACACATTAGTGTATATACATACTCTCTAAATATTTGGGATGAAATACTGTATTGGTAATTACTTTATTTATATATACAATAGAAACTATGCTATCTATTCAAATTTTCTAAATTGATCTTGACTTCATAATTAATTATTAACTAATTTGATTATTTATTTGGTCTAAAATGGAACTAAATTGAATGTGAATCTTCTAAATTCTACTAGTTTATGTGCACTTTTTACTCTCATTTGTAATGTAAGTAAATATTTATTCAAATAGTATTATTTATGACTATTTACTAAACAAATTTTTCTATCATATCTAATTATTTGAAATATTATTAATTTTTTTTAAGTTCAACAATACATATACAAGGACAACAACAACCCAGCCCAAAAAGACAAAATCTATGGCCAAAACATGGAGTGAAAATTCAAATCTTTGATCTTTGAATCAGATATATTTCTCCATCTTATATTCTGATGAGTTAATCAATAAATAATATATATAACGTTTTTCAAAAAATGAAATCAACTCAAATAAAAGGATTGTAGAAATAAAATAAGTATTGACTTATGTAAACATAATAAAATATCTTTTGTGTTAATGTAGTTTTTTTTTTTTAAGCCAATGTACTTCTAGTTATTTCTTCTAAAATTTGTCAAATTGAATTTACTTATTATCAACGTGAGTATTCATTTCCTATTTTCTTCTAAGTGCAAGACAATCGTACCCAATCAGATCGAATTTGTCAAAATAAATAAATAAATAAAATAACTCCGAGGATGCTCATCTAGTCAAGGTATAACACAAGACCAATTAATTGATAAAATATATACAGAAGAAAACCTGCCAAGAAAATAAAATATTATATTTTCTCTTCTCTCTTTTGAAACTGTTTCTAAAAATTATTCTGGCAGGAAAAGAAGTTACATAAAAAAATGTTTTTTCTTTCTAATGTTTAAGAATAAAAATTATTTTGAATCATGATTTTAAAATAGAAAATTATAATATTTTTCTCTTACAAAATTTTGCAGGCTCTACAAATAAGAGAGTGAGCAATTAAATTTTTCTTGTTGAACTCAGATATGCTTTAGAATGCAAAATTAATTTTATCTTTAAAGGTCAAGAAGTTATAATTTTAAAGTTTTTATATATAGTCAAAATATGAGTAAATTATTAGTAAGTTAATTAGCACCTTAAATTAAGGAGGATTTTTAATTGATTAGAGAGACTTTTCCTTAACCATGTGCAGATGATCTAATTGGCACAAGTTGGCAAAATCTTAATTAATTTCAAAATTTTCAAACTTTACTTTTCCCAAATTCATAGCATAAGTAGCCGATCAATCAAAGTGTGATTTAGGATATTATTTAAAATAGAGAACTTCATGCCAAAAAGCATCCTAGCTAGGTGCCAACTAATATCAAGAACAATATATCTTACTTTTTAAAATAAACGTCATTGTCTTGCAAGTTCACAGTCAATAGAATAAGTTGGTCTAAGGACAAAAAGATAAATGTGGTATAAAAATAGTACTTTCAATTAATGAAAAATACAATAATAAACCTGTCTGCAGCTGTATTGTAAGTTGTAACTAAGAAATCGTGTCGTGTAAGATACAATGTATTTAGAACAATTTTTTTTTTTATCAAGATACAATATTTATTGTTGCTTGATAGTGTTACTTTCCTATTGCTTGTACTCTACACACAACAAACAAACAATAATTAGAGAGATATATAAAGGGAGAAAACCAATTATATATGGAAAGATCTTGGGGCACTTTACAATTTATGAACCATGAACTAAGTTGTAAAAATTTTTAAGTTCTACAACTTTTAAGATCTTCATAATTAATTATAGTTATAGAGTGACAAAACTTTTCAAACCCAAATGTCTTTCATTTTATCATTTTCACTCAACATGAAAAAAAAAAAGAGCAAATAATCAATTTTGTAACTTTAATTTTTGAATGCCCAAAAATAATGGNAAGTTTCTTTTTTTTTTTTTTTCAGAACATAAAGAAAAAATGTTCTACACCTATGATTCATTGAAAACTTGCACTAATATTTAAAAAAATAAAGCGCTAAAATTTGACCACTTGAACCATAACATTGGTTGGCTACAAATTGGTGGGGTTGGGTGTAGCATTATTGGTCAAATATCTTGACTTGCTATAGTCACTTTCATGTATCATAACTAACTACATTATGAAATTACATTTTGGTCAAGATTCAAACTATGCATGTAACCAATACTCTATTTTCCATAATAATTTATCACTATAAAATCAAACATCATATTTATTATATATCACAATCACTGCTCACACTCAAAAGTTTTAGTATCATATATATTCAAATTTTTTAAGTTTATAATCTTATATATAATTTGGTTGAGTTTTTGGAAAGTAAAATTCTAAATATTTTCTATTTTATTTTAAAATTTTAGTAAAAACATATTTGAACATAACAATTCTTTTACACAAAAAAAAAATTATTATTATAGTTTTGATCCTTTCACTTCTCACTCTTAATTAAAACAGAGATTTTCATAAATAGGTTTAAATGATTTATGATATTAATTTCTTTTGTTATTTATTGTAGTAACAAAAATTTAATTTATTTATTTTTATTAATAATAATTATGTGGACATGACAAATTATAAACTACCGCTGCTATGCTCGCTATGACATAAACTAAACAACCAAAGTTAAAATTTCTGGGTTCAAATCATCCCTCATATAGTTGATAATGGCTTTCTAGCAATTTAATTATAGCTCAAATGGTAATTAAGTATTCATATCTCTCTATATGATGAGTTATAGCGGTTCAAATCTCAACTCTTCGTGTGCGATGTAATATTAAAAAAATAAAGTTTAAATATCGTTTCAATCTATAAATTTTTAAGATTATTCATTTTGGTCAACAAATTTTCAAAATATCTATATTTATCCCTAAAACTTTAGAGTTTGTGATTTTTTTTAATAAAAAAGGTAATAATATTTTTATAAATACAAATTTGTTTTCTGGCCCATAGGGTTATTTAAAATAATAATAATAATAATAATAATGAATAAGATATGCAACTAAAATGGAAAGAAAACCAGCATAATTTTTATAACACATTCAAAGTTTTAATTTTTATTTTATTTTTCAAAATTTAACTAGCTACCTAATAAACAAGTGACAATATGACCTAATAAATGAAAATTGATTAGTAATATTTCAAGATAAATATTTTATTAAATAAAACAAATACACACAATATACTCGTGCTTATATTACAAATCTAGAAACAAAATAAATAGACCTTCTAGACAGAAAATAAAAGTCTAGAAACAAAGGACAAGATCAAAATAAGTAAGAGGGAGGGAAAAAAAAAACTAAGTCAAAATATATGCATCGAACTAGAAACATCAACGAACCAAACACGACACTGCCATAAATTATCCAAAACAAAAAAAAGTGAAGAGTTGTCTGGTTGACTTGTGTCGACCTTTCTGCCCTAATAATTGGCCGGACCATCCCTCTTTAATTCGTCTCATTTTTCCCATTATTATCTATAATCTATTCTCATCTTATATTTTAATCTTTTTTTTTTTGAAAAGTCATCTTATATTTTAATTCATGCTTAGGGAACATTAGTTTTAATATTGGAAAAAAGTAGACTTTTTTTTTTAATTCCATGTGGGTGGAAGAATGAGATTTGGGCTATTTTCTGCAACCACAAAGACGAAGTGATGTTTACTTTTAATCAAATTGATTTTGTATGTAATTAGAGTGGATTTACGTAGTTTGAGTAATTGAGATTTCTTGTTAATAACAGCAAGGTAGAGATTTCGTGACGCCTGAATAGAAAGGAGGGGCATATGAATGAATCGATACCACACCTGAATGAGACAGATCCTGAAACCATATAAGCATGGTTAAGAAAGTTTAAAAGAAATGATAGTTACTACCTATACTAACAAGGTGCACTTTTCTTTTCGGTAACTCAATTGTAAGAGCTCCAAAATTAAGTGTGCTTAACTTGGAGGATGGTTTGTAGGGATAGTCTATGCTCTTCTAAGTAACTCAGAACTAGACGGTAGCGCAACCGGGTCGCACGAGAATGCTTGGGCAATTAGAGCCAAATTCGAATTCCGAATCTTGGTCCTAATCCAGACGTTACAAATTAAGACCGAGGGAAAAAATATTAGACTTTTTATTTCTAGAGAAATTTTCATATTGATATCCATGCTTGAAAAATAGTTTGATTTAGTCCGTAGAATGTATTCATTAATATCTTTAATGACATAAATAAAATTTTATTCGATTAGGCACGTGTTTTTTGGCAACCTGCCTTTTAATTTGTCCATTTTTATTTATTTTGACTTTTAATATTATGAAGGGCAAGTAACCAGAATTGCCACAAATGAAGAATGAAATATAAAATTATTAAAGGTAGGAAAATGATTTATTATATAAACAAAATAAGTCATCACATTTGGTGACATTATTCATATTTTTGTAATATTTAAAATAAGTTCTTTTTCTTATTGTTGACTCAATGATTAAGGTACCTGTATCTAACCAATAATTATAATTTTGAATCGGCACAATGGTAATAAAAAAAGGTTTTTCTCTTACTCAAAAATTAAAAGTAATTTTTCTTCCCTTTTAACTCAACCTATATTGTTCTACCATTTTAATTAATCTAAGTTTTATTTTGCAACACTTGAATTTGAATACTCCTTTAATGCAAATTTAATATTCTAAAATAAAATATTCTTGTTTTACTACAAAGTAGTTAGGGTAAGATTGTTTCATTTTAACGTTTGTTGTTTTGTTTATTACCAAACTACATTTAAAAGAAAAAAATAATTATTTTATTAATCATTTTCCATCTACACGATTTCAATCATACTTTGACAAAGACACCTGAAAATAAAGAGATGATTCTTTGAACATAGATAAACAATATAAAATTTAATATAATAAAAAGTAAATCCAGTAAAATTATATCTAGTAAGCGAAATCTTTAAAATACCTAAAAACTAATTCTCGATAACTTCAAACATTTGAAAACAAACAAACACAACACCGTAGCATAATTGGAATCTTTATTTCATTGGAATCAATGATTACATCAAATGATAGCAACCTCATATTATAAGATCAATCATAATTTCCCTCTTGACTTTTTTTTATTATTATTTTTTACTAATTTTAAAAATAAGTTCGGCTGTTTTAATTTAATAATAATCTTTCCTCTTTAGCGTAGACATTTTTTAATATCCATATAGAGAGGGCAGGGGGAATAAAAAAAGGAAAAATCGCCATCAGGTAATTAATTAAAGTTATGACTTATGGGGTATTTTCCAAATATCCGTCCTTTAAAACTTCATTTAGCAACAAAAACTTGACCGTTTAATTTAAATAACAGAAAAATAAAAAATAAAAATCGGATCCAAACTGTACAAAGAAAGACCAACTACAACTACTCCTCTAAAATAAAAGGGAAAACGAAAACGAAACGACGACGTATTGTGGATTAGGCGTGGGCATTGCTAAATGGGGTGGATCCCGGCGAGAAGGGCGGCGGCGATGTGGAAGAAGCGGTGGAGAATGAGGGCGGAGGAGACGGGGACGCTGAGAGTGAGGAGCGTGAGGAAGGCCAAGGCGACGCTGGGCCTTGTGTTCATGAGGTGCGATTGGAGGTAGCCGAGGGCCTCGCACACGTGCGAATCGTAGTCCCTGTAGAACCGCTTCTCCCACTCGAGCCAGTCGGCCGGTGGCGCCGCCTCCCGCTCCGCCATCTTCATCTCGTGGATCCGCTTCCGGAGCACGATCATGCTCTCCTCCACCAGCTTCCCGCTAGCGTAGTGGTTGTTTCGCCCGCTGTTGTCCGCCTCTCGAGATCGCGACGACGCCGTGACTCTCGAGGGAAGACCTCGCCGCCGCCGCCCGCCGGAGATGGGGCTGCTGGGGAGGAATCGGAGGGAATTGGTGGAGGAGGCGACGGAATTGAGGGATTCCATGTTGGTATAGGTGAGAGAGATTTGGAAGTTTTGGGAAATTTGGGCGAAAACTGGAATTGGAAGTTTGTGGTGAGGGGAATTGAATTGGGAATTGGGAATCGAGGATTGGTATTTATAGGCTCTTGTATTGGAGGGGGAAAAGTGGAGGAGTTTACTTAATGGGGGAGGCAACCGATTCCCAAACCGTGTTAAATTGACGGCTCTGATTTCCTACGAAATTCGAAGAATGTGACACGTGTCGGCACCTCGTCATCATCCCCAACACATGATGTGACTACCTCATCTACGATCTGTTCTCTATGTTTTCTTCTTGTTTTCCTTTCTAGAATTAATCAACCTAACCTGCTGAAATACAACTTTAATTTAATTCAATTAGTTAAAATATATATTTTTTTTTACAAAATATCGTTGAAATCTAGGTTCAGGTGCAATCACTCTAAATCTTGACCTCAACACCTGAAGGTACGATAACCCTGGATTATTAATTTCTTATCTAAATTTTTTTAATGTTCTATTAGGTTTTGATAACACTTTTAAAAGGTAGTTCACAAAACAAATAAACACATACATAGAAAATGGAATATATAAGTTCGACTTTCAAAAACAGAACACAAAAAATAAAATTATTGGTAGGCTATATATATACATTCATGATCTCTTGATTAGAGACATGTGTTAATTACCGTTGAACTAAGCGCATGTTTATAGATATTGCTTTAAGCAAACGTGTTATATGTTTGATCACATCCTAATTTGGACTCTAAAAAGTTTACTATATTCGATTCATTGCATTTATAGATTTCCTAATAATACTTTAATTAGTGAAGTTAGGGAAACTGGAACATTTTAGTTATGTTTTAAATACTATTTTTTTTATGTTTTAAATACTATAAGAGCAGTGATATTAAGTATTAGACATTTTTAGAAAGTTTTAAAAAGAAAACATGATTGCAAATGATAAATAAATAAATAAATAAAAATCAATTGGTCAATTAAAAAAAACGACCTCTAAAATTATAAAAATGAAAAAGAATCGTGTCTTTGTTCGTTCAACTCGATTAATTTTTATCCATTAATTTTATTGAGTTTTAGGCCTCATTTGTTTACCTGCAATCGTATTCAAGCAATCTTTTTTTATATTGTTTACAAAATTATAGGAATAAAATCAAAGGGTGGAACCCACCTCAAACCCTATTCACATTTTTTATTTCGTAGTCCCCACATATATATTATAATCAATTTACAAATATACTCTTTCTCTCTCATCTATTAATTAGACCGGAACAATTTTTAATTAATTTTTGTTTATACTGTTACCGTTTCTTCTCTATTTATACTTTAATCTGTATTACTTGATGTGATTTTATTATATAATATTATAAATTTATACAATTAATATCAATAGAGTTTTTAAAATAGAAATTACTTTTTCAAATATTAGAATAATAAATTTTTAATAATATAACATATTAAATTATGGTTTTTTTAATAAAAAAATATTTTATTTGATGTAATTTTATTTTTATTATTTATTATTATGAAATTAATTGTTATAATAAAAATAGTAATAAATTAAATTAAAATTTATTAGTGTTGTAATTAAAAAAGATTAGCATAATGTATTTATAATTAGTTAAAAATGAGAAAGTGGTATACTAATAATTGTGATTGGATTCCAAACAGTTTTAGTAAACAACATCAAAGAAATTTTGATTACGATTTCATAAAATTTCTACTAAACATCGAAAAAATAACATTCCTATTCCGATTCATTTGATTAATTTTGCTGGGTGAAAAGTGATAATTTTGTTGAAATCGACAAAAATCAAAATTTATCCGACCGGCTTATATCTTTACTGTAACACAATCCCCGATTAAGATGGTGTTCTTCTTTTCTAAGCAATAAACAAGAAAAAGTAATAAAATTTCCATATATTTTAAAGGAAAGTGACAGGAAACTGAAAATTAAAACCGTAAAACAAACCTAAAATTTTTAGGTTCAAATACCATTTTAGTTTCCATCTTGATTCATTTTGGTCTTTTTAAAACGTTCATTTATAGATCCTGAACTTTTATTTTTTGTTGATTTTAATTCCTAAACTTTCAAAATGTTCATTTTAATTATCCTACTATTATAATGTGACAATTTTGAATCATTTATTTGTATTTTTATCATATTTCTTTTTATCATAATTTTAGCATGACACTCAATTCCTTAATTTCTTGGAATATAACCACATATATTTGTCTCAAAAAGTTTTCATTGCATATAAAATTTATGTCAAAATTTTATAAATAGAAATAAAGTTAGTCACTTTTTTAAAAGTAAATACACAAAAATAAATGAAAGCGCAACCTAAAATGAACAAATGTGGAACTTACTAGGATAAAAATTAACGTTTTAAAGATACGCCAAAGTCAATAATTGAGGGATTAGAATAATATTTAAACCAATTTCTATATATGACACTTTTTTTTTCTGTTTCTGTTTCTGTTTTTGTTTTTTCCTTTATGTTTCTTGTTTTTTGTTTTTTTGTTTGCTTTTTGTTTNTAATTAGACGTTTCTACTTATGTGTCAATTTGATGGTAAATGGGAAAGAATCTTGACCTACGCGGTTTTAACTATTAATGTAAACTCTCCCACCGTTGAAAAAAATAATCCAATTTATTTTTAAAGATGAAACTAAACTAATGCGATTTGTTTAAACTAAATTAAAATCATGATGAAAATTACGTTATGCAAATACATTTTATTCATTTCATAAAGTTAAAAAAAATTTAATAGAAACATAGTTTAACAATAATTGATATATATCTCCAACGAAAAGATTGTGAGTTCGAATCCCTTCCGCCACCGTAAAATAATAAAAAGGTTAATAGATTTTGAGATTGTTATCGATATATAAAGTTAAAAATAATCTACAACAATATTTCTTTTCGGATATTGTACAATACAATGGAAAGAGTTTATTACATGATCAAAACATTTTTTCAATGGGTTCTTTGAATCTAAGTATTATCTTTCTTTTTCTTTTTTTTTTTCTATTTACTTAATGGTAAAAAATCATTAATGAGTTTTAAATGTGAAGGTTATCTTTTAGAGAAAAAAAAATTAATGTTAAACTCCCCTTATAAATATTATTTGTAATATATTGTTCATTATATATTTTTATGCGGAATTATAGAATATTGTAATTTACAAATTTCAAAATCATAATCAACAACAAATTCATTATTATTATTATTTTTTTAATACAACAACATGTAGTTGTGAAAATTCAAACTCGTGAACTTTTAATCGCAGATAGATACTGTAACCAATTGAGCTACATTCAGATTGGTGTTATGAACAACAAATTCTACATAATCAACACATTTTTTTAATCAATTCTCCAACAACATAACTGAATGGTCGGACGTCGTTATTACATAACTCCCTGTAAATAGAAGTATCATTCTAACCTCAAGTATGCAATCCAACCTCCATTTGAGACCATAGATCGATCCCTTGCTAACTTGAACATGAGACTAGTGTATGCTACCCTTGTATATATATTTTCTTATCAAGCTCGGTCATACTTGATCTTACCAATTCTCGATCTATATTAGAAATAACCATAAACGGACTTCGCATCGTTAAAAAAAAAAAAAGAATTCATCCAATTCTTTCCCTATCTATCTCCATAATTATAATCAAAATAAATAGTTGATCCAAAAAAAAAAGGGTAAATAATATTTGCTTTATCCCTTTTCCCTTTGAATGTATTCCACAGGCTTTTTTCTACACGCCGAATTACCAATAGCAAACTATGATGAAATAGAATTAAAACCATTATTAGCATATAAAGTAAAAATATAAAAAAATCTAAGATGTTCCCTCTACATTGAATGAGTTCATTACTATATGAAAATATTCTCGACCATTCTTTGAATCAAAGTAAAACTTTTCTTTTACCTTCGTGTAATGCCAATGATGAGTTTTAAAATTTGAATATCATTTGTCATAAAAGAGGAAAAGAGAAAAAAAAAAGTGGGAATATCAAATTTGGGCTTGCTCTACTACTTTTATCCTGGTTTATCCTGGTTACTGTGCATGTAATCACTATCTTTTCCCACGCTCAATTGTTAATGGTAAATTATCGACATAAACATAGTTTAAATGACTAAAACATATATCATAGACCAAAAAATTGAAGGTTTAAATCTCTACGTGGAAGACCGATGAACTAAAAAAAGCGGTTAATAATTATATATTTTTGGTGAATTTTGAATTCATTGTGATTATATTATAAGGACAAAAACAATTTAAGAGACTCTCTCTAAATAGGTTTAATAACATTGAATGAATTTATTACATTATCAAAAAAATTTCTCAATCTGTTCTTTGAATTTGGGCACGATCTCTCTATATAACTAAAATAAAGCATAATAAATTGATGGGTTTTAAACGTTAACCCCATTGGTCAAAAGGGAGAAATTGAATATCTCAAAAACTATGGTTTATTTAATTAAAAAAGTCACTTTATATATACACGTATATATACCGACCTTGTTTAAATTTTTCAAATTTTACTTTAAAAGAATTATTTTTGGTACAACATGTAGAGGTAAGGATTTGAACTCACGACTTTTTGATCGAAAATAAGTGTCTTAATCAATCGAACTAGATTTTTTTTTTCTATTCCACCTAATTTGGAGTGGGAGTCTTCCCGGCCTCAATCTCACAGTACTTTTCGTAGGACGTCCACATCATAAACATAAAAGAGTTTTCTTAACCTATATTCATTGAATCTAGATCTAGTTTTCACATATATATATATATATATATATATATATGACAATTATATGATAATAAATACCTAATGACAAATAAATTTTGTAATTTGTTTTTTCCACTCGCAATAAAGGCATCCTTTTTTTGTTGGCTATTATTATTATTATTTTAAAGTTTTTTGTTGGCTATTATGAAACGAAGTTATTAGCTAAATAATGTACATTTAAACCTCTAGTTTGACTAGAAACTATATACATGGAATTTAGCTAAACTTTGTAACAGGTTTGACTTTGAAATTTTTAAT